TGAATTTTACCATCTGCATGGTCAGCTCAATAAAACATTTTACAGCTATTTCTTTTCCCAGCAAAAATAATATTAATAATATTAAGTTCTCGATTTCAGAATCGATAGTTTTTTTTTCTTCTTTCACAACATTCTTAGTTTCCTTTTGAAACGAAAATTTAACTGGTCGACAATATGCAGTTGATAATGACTTTTCGTTTCTCCACACTTCTACGTTTTTATTATTATAAAATCCACTTAGTTCTAATGGTGTTTTGCAAGTAATAAATAAACACTCTTCATTCTTTAGATTTCTTTCAATTTTTTTATTATGGTTAACCTGCTTGTAAACACATTGCCCTGTAGCACCATCAAACCCACCCTTGCATCTAAATGTCAGTTTAGTTAATTCCTTAAGCATTATGATTAACACAGAAGCCTGTAAATCACGCTGTCTTTCAAGAGTGTACATCAGAAGGTCTTTTAGCGGTATGTTTACTGTATACTCATCTACATAATGTTTTTTGGATAGCATTTAGCTTTTGAAAATTGTATATCATTATATAAAGGATACATGGTCAGTCTTTTTCTTCAGCGCCATTTAATAAAAGCTCTGAACATGTTTTCGCGTCACGGTGAGGAAGGAGGCGTGAACTTCCTGGTTAAATGCACTTCCGCGGTGCTCTGTGACAAGACCGTTAGGTCTTCTTGGGGCACCTAAAAAAAAAAAAAAATAAAAGCTGGTATGTTGATTTTCATATACCACCATCAACAATCAATGCTAGACCTTCATCCAATGAGTAATTCTTAGGGGTTTCGAGAGTTTTGTCCAGTGGCGGATTAAGACTTTTTGGGGCTCGGGGCTATTTTTGTTTTTGGAGGCCTTATTATGGGCCAAAACCTAAAAATGACTAAAAAAAAAAAGGTCTTCTAAAAGTTTTTAGGGCCCCTAAATTTGCGGGGCTCGGGGCTATAGCCCCTTTAGCCCCCCCTCTCTTGATCACGAACAGGTTTTGTCATCTAAAATTTCAACAATATTTTTAGCAGTCTTGTACTTGAACTCATTCCTAATTTCAATTTTGTTGCATGAAGTAGTTCAGCGTCAGATAAACTGTTAAAAGCTTTCTTTTTTTTTGTTCTGTTACAAGAGTTTTCAAAAGAGCAACACGGTCTTCGAACTTCATTAACTGTAGAATCTAGCGTATTGTATTCATTGCTTTTCTCAAAATGATTTATCATTGTTTGCAGCTATCCACTGTTCACAATATAAATTTATAAAGTTTTTACACTCTAAATCTTTTGATTTAATATCTACTAAATCTAGGAGAGTTAGTACTGATGAAAAAAATGATGAATAAAACTCGTACTCTTAAAATGTCAAATAACCTCTAAAGGTGAAAAAGAAAATTAGGTGTTATGTATATAGTTCTAATAGGTCATAGACATGTTACACTTACTATCTCAAGCACTCGATATAGGTTCTCGTAGGTTCCCTAACTTATCTGACACTTTTTGTACAAAATAAATGTATTTAATGTTATAAACTTACCTCGTCATTATAAAGCCAGTTTATGAATGTGTTTCAAATGTTGATCTTTTCTTTATATTATTTTTATAAAGTTATAAACTTACCTCGTTATTATAAAGCCAGTTTATGAATGTGTTTCAAATGTTGATCTTTTCTTTATATTATTTTTATAAAGTTATAAACTTACCTCGTTATTATAAAGCCAGTTTATGAATGTGTTTCAAATGTTGATCTTTTCTTTATATTGTTTTTATAAAGTTATATTATTAAAAAGTTAAATTACGAAAACTAATTACGCATAAACCTATTTATTTTTAAGTTTACTGTTTACTAAAGTTAAGCATAAAATAAAAAAATTTACGCTTTTTTGTAAAAAAGAACAAGTAAAATTAAAACGACTTTTTAAAACCCGATGCTTTTTAATAAAACACAAATTTTTTATTAAAACAAACTTTTTCTATTAAAACAATTTATTAAAATTTTTTTATTAAAACAAATTTTTTTTATTAAAACAAAAATTTTTATTAAAATACAAATATATTAAAACACAAATTTTGCAATCAGTTTTTTCTGATATTACTGTTTTGTTCTGTTAACATTCGTCTGTGTAAAAAAATAAAAATGTTCAAGTTTCGAACCACCCCAGTGGGCACAAGAACGTTTTGCGAACGTTTTATAATGGTCCCGTAAAAATGTTTTTTAATGGTTTTTTAAACGTCCATATGAAACGGTGAGCAGGCGTTTTCTTAAAAACATTTTGTGAACAATTTTTAATTAACCTATAAAAACGTTTTTTATTATTTTTTTGAACGTCCATACGAAGCGATGAACGGACGTTTTTCTGAAAACGTAATGTAGGGGAGAGTGTGTATGAAAGAGCCAGGTTTTGAAAGAGCCGATGCCGTTATTTCTAACTTCCTGGCACCCAACCATAATTGTTTTTTACTCATTGTGTGTCAACACTGGATACAAGTCACCCACAAAAAATTTATAATTCTACAAAAATAAATTGCGCCGTTAGGCTGCACTAAATATTTTGAACACAAAAAGTAATTTTTTGGGGGTTTACTTATTTGTTTTTAAGATAAAGTGTATTTTATTATTTGATAAAAGGTATATATATATACCTCGTTGTTATATATATATTTGCCCTTAATTTACACAAAAAATATTAGATAAAAGTTTCGGTAAAAAATGTTTAATTTGAGTTTATTTTTATAAACATACAATTTGTTGAAAGAGCCGACTTTTTATGCTATGAATGAGCCGGTTTTTTCTATTTAGTTTTTTTTTAAACTAATTAATTGTTTCGCGCTTTAACGACTTCATATATTTTTCGTAACGCTTCAATGAGCTTATTCTATCTAAATAAGTTGTTTTAATGACTTTTCCTGAAGTTGTAAAACATAGCTCCGTTAGAATTTAAAATAATATTTAATAAAAATTCTAAGTCAAAGTTCTGAAAAAGTCATTTTTTTTTTTTTAAAGTATAAATAATTTTTTTAAACTTTTTTTGTATTGTTTGAATCATTTTATTTTACTATTATGTATTTATTATATTATTATGTATATTTATTATGTTATTTCCTTATTCTCATTCTCATTTCATATTTTTTATCATAAAGAGAAAAACATGTCATCAACTACTAATAAGCGACAAAGGCCCGCAACTTCAGCAATAGAAATGGCTGTAAGGGAAGTGAATGCTGGCAACCAGTCCATCAATAAAACAGCGTTGGTGTTTGGAATATCGAGAGCCTGTTAAGCAAAAGTGATTAAAAAGGTTGGCAATACTGAGGATCAGTATGTGCATTGCCCAAATATAGGTAACAGGCGCATTTTTTCTAAACATCAAGAGGATTTATTAGTTTCGTATCTTAAAACTGCATCTAAAATGTGTCACGGTTTGACAAAAAAACAAACAAGGAAACTAGCTTTTCAGTATGCAGAGGTGAATAATATTTGTCCTGAAAGATGGAAGGGTGATAAAATAGCATCTGTGGAATGGCTTCGTGGCTTTATGATGAGGCACAAAGATTTGTCAGTCAGGAAACCTGAAAGCACATCTTTGTCCAGAGCAACAAGTTTCAACAAAACAAATGTTAACACGTTCTTTGAAAAGCTAACCAGCATTTACAAAAAATATAGATTTCCATCACACATGATTTTTAATACGGATGAAACAGGATGCAGTACTGTTTCAGCTCCTCCAAAGATTATAGCTGCAAAGGGATCAAAACAAGTAGGGCAGGTTACATCAGCAGAACCAGGTACACTAGTGACTACTCTTTTTTTTGTTAATGCTGAAGGTGGTACTATACCTCCTGTGTTTATTTTTCCTCGAGTAAATTATAAGGATCACATGTTGAATAATGGGCCTTCTGGAGCATTGGGTTTATCACATGTTTCAGGATGGATGACTGAAAATAATTTCGTTAAAGCAATGGAACATTTTGTAAGCCATGTAAAACCAAGTGAAAATGCTAGAAAGAATTTAAAATCTAAGGATCGTAAAATGGCCTCTGCTATAATCACAGACACTCCTGAGAAAAATAAAATTGAAGGGAAAGAAACAAAAAAACATCCTAAAAAAAGTGTCATTAAAAAGTTTAAAACAAAAAAATATAGAAAAAAGTATGATTCCATTGATTCTAGTGGTACCATATCATTGCACAATGATGCAAGCTCCAATGATAAAATAGATTTATCAGAAATAAAAAAACAGAATGTTTGTGAAGGGGATGATAAAAATCATTGTATTATATGTAATGGACAATATGGTAAGACCAACGAAGAATGGTACCAGTGCAAGGTATGTGAAGGATGGGCACATGAATCTTGTGGCTTCAAAGGTGTGATTAACTTCTTCTGCCAAAAATGTTTCTGATGTTTTTTTAGTTTTTGATTTTGATTAATTTGGAAAACTATTATTAAAGCTGTTTTATTATTTGTTTTATCATTGATTATCATAGAGCTATAAAACTTTAAGTACAATCTGTTTTTTAGAAGTCTATTTAACAGTTCAATATTTAAAAAAGACTTGATAGTGTTCAAAAAAAAGTTACGGCTTATTCATGGCACAGTGGTGGCTCTTTCGTTGACACAATGTTATGAAAGAGCCGTTTTCTATCTTTTTTTAAAATAGGTTTATGACAGGTTTTTAGCATTTTTATCCAATTTATTTTAATTCTATAATATTACCCAATAAAGTAACTATTTAAAAAAAAAAAAAAAAAAAAATTAACCCCAATTGACTTTTTTTTATTCCTTTTTAAAACTGGCTCTTTCATACACACTCTCCTCTAATTGTTTTTATTACGTCTACATGAAACGTTTTGTCGTTTTTAACATTTTTCTAACAACGTTTTTTTTTTTAAGTATAAGTTATTTAAATAAATAACTTATGTTGTACAGAAAAAAAAACCTTTTCACAAATGAAAACTTATGTCTAACAGTCTAGATCCGAATAAATAACTAAAGATTTAAACATTTTGTGTTTATTTACAATTTAAGGATACAAAAACATGCTATTCTATTAAGCTAATTATTCTATTATTTTCTTCAAAAAATCGCCTTTCAACTTGTCGACCAAATCGAACTTTGCTGTATGTGACACTAATGTTCCTTAAAAAGAAAAATACAACAGAAATCTTTCATGCATTTCGCTAAATATATATAAAAAAGCATCAAAATGTAAATTATAATAATAAGAAACGAGTAATGGAAAATACCACACAGTATATTAAAGGACCAATATAAAAATTTAAAAAGTACCTACAATTACTCTACTCAATAAAGTTTTTTTTAAATGATATATTTCCATAACCCGACGGGCATTTGTTTTTAAAAGTTACGTTCTAAATGTATTTTAAATGTCTTTTAAACGTTTTTTTGCGTAAGAATGTTTAAAAGACGTTTAAAAGACATTTAAAATACATTTAGAACGTAACTTTTAAAAACAAATGCCCGTCGGGAAGTTCCAGCTTACTTGAACAATGATAGAACACATTTTGACATTATTTCATCCAAAACATTAATAGCAGAGCTGAAAAAGACCCTTAAAGACCAGAGCTGAAAAAGACCCTTAAAAAATCATAGAATATATTTAGTTTGATCACATTTTACTTTATTTATGAAAACTTTATACATTTATGTAAAAAAGAATAAAACAAAAAATAAAACTTTACTTTATTACTTAAAATTACTTCACTTTTATCAAACCTTGTTATATCATTAATTTTATCATAATAAAATTATGAATCTTCAAACTCAATCTTTTCCCCCCGGATATCCACTGCAGATAAAGACTTTTTAAGACTTTAGGCATCGTAGTTCCATATATATTGCAGATTGAAAACCTATTAGAAAAAAAAAGTTTGAACTTAGTAAAATATTAATAAAAAACTGTTGTGAAAAACTGAAAATTAAATTAAATACAATAAACATCTTTTAAAAAAGGAAAAGACAACAATTAGTAACATACTTGTTCCACTAACAGACTTAAAACATGATGGCAGTTTATCATAACAATAAACTGCAGCAATGCATCACTAAAATTTTTTTTCAACTTGTTGAAGAAATGTTTTATGTATAATTTGTAATGTATTATTATGTATAATGTAAGTTAGCAACTTGTTAAAAATACATACACATTTTTAAATATTTCGAAAAAACATTTATCTGGTTTTATTTAGCATAAAATATTGAATAAAAACAGATGAACTTACATTTGGCAAATTTTTGCACTTTAATATCAGGACTAGCTTCTCTAATGTGCAAACAATTATGATATGTTTTTTTCATTGTTCTAATAATTATATTAAAAAAAAATACAAAAATTGTCCACTTTAGTCTTATTTATAAACTTACATTGAAGTATTTAGTTAAGAATTTTAAATATAACACTAATTTTAAAAAATCATAAAAAAACTTGCATATAAGAGCTAAACTTGAAAAAACAAGCTGATTCTAGAAGTTTAGAACTTGAAAACTCTGAATCACTTTATGCGTGCATCTTACATATCTTTAGTTCTTTCGTCAAGATTTAGGTTTGTCAATATTCTTAATTGCCTTTCTATAGAGTGTTATAAGGTGAAAAAAATATTTTTGTATTTTTTTACTAAACATACAGTCGCTTTCTTAATTTTTTTCTAATAGATGCTTGTTACTAAGTAAAGTCTACCGGTTAGGCCAAAAAAAAATCATGGCTCAATATTATATATACAAAATTATTCCTACTAAAAGTTCTACTTGTATAAATAATGTAAAGCAATTGCTAACTGGAGTAGAAATAATCTAAATAGAAATAGCTTTATACATTTATTAAAAGATTTATTTATGATACGATTGTAACATAAACTTACTTTATGTTAAGTTGTGATCATTTCATTGTAACTATACTTGTATCTTTATTACTCATAATTGAGAATTATAGTTTAACTTTTTTCAGTATATATAAAAAATAACTTTACATACATAAAAAAATAATTATAAACAAAAACACACACACACACACACACGCACACACACACACACACACACACACACACACACACACACACACACACACACACACACACACACACACACACACACACACACACACACATATATATATATATATATATATATATATATATATATATATATATATATATATATATATATATATATATATATATTCTGAAAAAAAAGTTTACATTTCATGGTTTTTTATTAATAGTACAAGTACTAATCCAAGGTAAGCACCAATTAAATAATAATGGCAATCATATAACAATAATAATGTAAATTAAATGAAGACGATTATAATAATATCAATAATACTATTAAATATAATATATTAAATATAATGATTATATTAGTAATTATAATAACAACAACAACAATAATAGCAATAATAACAATAGCAATAACAGCAATAATAACAATAATAATAATATTAACAAATATCACATTTATATATTAAACAATTTTAATAAGTAATAATGACGGTAATAAAAATGTAAATAAAATGTAAGTAATATTAACATCACAAATGATAATAATACTAATAACATTAGTAATAATAATCTAATATAAGCCTAAGATTTTAATTAGAGTATTTTTCTATGAAAAAGTCAAAAAGACGGGTTTTAAATTGTGAAAAAGAGTTGAGGGATTGAAAATGAAAAGGTAAATTATTTTGTTTGTAATAGAACTGCATTGGTTTGTAATAGAATTATCACCGTATTTTACCGAACAGCAATTTGGGATAGATAATTTAAAGTTACTCAAAGATCGAAGGTAATAACGAGAACTTTTTTTAGTGGTAAAAAAATTGGAGGATGAGGGAGGGAGGTTTACTTGTTTATGATTCCAGACAAATAGACAATTTAATAAATAAACAAGATCACATAATTTGAGTATTTTTGATAGAAAGGCTGTCAGAGTTAGAATAATATTGTTGAAAGAATATTATTTTTAAAGCTTTGTTTTGTAGGATACATAACCTTAAAAAAGCATTAGACTTGCATTGTCCCCAAACCTGACAAACGTATCTAAGATGAGATCCAAAAACTGCATGATATATATTAAGTAGAGTTTCATAATTGACATAGTGGCGAATTTTGGCTAGCATCTCATTTGATCTACACAATTTTACTCCTAAGTTTTTAAGATGAGAGGAAAAAGATAGATCTAAGTCAATTTGGATTCCAAGATGTTTTAGTGAAACTGCGGGAAAAAATTTTTTGTCCACTTAGTCTAAAGTTTAGGTTTTTATACATTTTAGATTGATTTTATTTGAAAATAATAAGTTCAGTTTTGTTGGTATTAAAACTTAGTTTGTTAGAGCGCAGCCATTGAAGAAGGTTAGATAAATCATGATTAATATGTTTGTTAATTTTTTTTAATGATTTGTTTGTTATGAGTAAGTTAGTTTTGTCAGCAAAATGGTAAGCCGTTGAAAATTTTAGAGAGATATTAAGATAATTTATAAAAATAAGGAAAAGCAATGGTCCTAATACAGAACTTTGTGGTACACCCGTAGAGCATTTTATTGGAAAAGATTTGGCATCATTGATGGAGACAAATTGCAATCTATCAAAAAGATATGATGAAAACCATTGCAGAGTATTACCTCGAACACCTTAGTGTTCTAATTTACTTAAGAGGATGGAATGGTCAACAGAATCAAAGGCTTTCTCTAAGTCAAGAAACACTTCGCATACAAAAAGTTTATTGTCAAGAGCATTTCTAATAGTTTCAGATATTTTAATAAGTGCATGATTTGTGGAGTGTTTGTTACGAAATCTATTCTGATGTTTGTAAAGACATTGGTTTTTTTCAAGAAAGCTATAAAGCCTGTTGTACATAGCTTTTTCAAATATTTTGCTAATGTTAGATAGAAGAGAAATTGGTCGATAATTTCTGTGGTCCATTAGAGAACCCTTTTTATGGATAGGAATAACTTTGGCTATTTTAAAAACATCTGGAAAAAGATTTTTATTAAAAGAATTATTCAATATGGTACAGAGAGGCTTGCAAATAACATGAGAAGTAAGTTTAAGAAGGTGTGTGGGGATACTATTTGTTCCTAAACTTTTACCATTTTGTAAACTATTTTTTATTAAATTAGACACTTCATTATCAGTCACTGGATTAAGAAAGAAAGAATTAGAATTAGCATTTTTTAAATAGTCAAAAAAGATACTTTTAGAAGAAATCATTTTATTTTTGGGTGGGTGTTGTATTGTTTCATAGTATTTGTTAAAAATGTTAGCAACAGCCATACTGTCTGAGATAGTGTTACCATTAGACTTGAGAGTGTAAGATTTAATTGTTGTAAAGGGTTTGATGTTAATAATTTCTTTTATTCCTTTCCATGTATTTTTTGTATTGACTTTTTGGAAATTCTTAATAAATTTCGAAATTTTATTCCTGTACAATTTAAATTTATCGAATAGTTGACTTTTTGTGTTGGAATTTTTAGATTTTATATACTCTTTGTAGAACTTATTTTTAATTTGCAATTGACTTCAGAACTCCATTAGTGATCCAAGGTTTAGATATGAGTTTAACTTGTTTTTTGGTCAGTTTTTTGTACGGGACATGACGATCAAGAATTGTGTTGAATGTATTTAGAAAAAAGTTCATTGATTCATTGACATCATCATCATTTTTGATATAAAACTTCCAGTCAATATTAGAAATATCCTTATTAAATTCATTATCAATGAAATTCTTAAATGATCGTTTAGCTGTTATGGATTTTTTTCTTTTGAAAGGAGCACTACTAGGAATGCAAACAAACTGTGCCATGTGATCTGAAATTAATATTGTTACGTTACCAGAAATAAGATTAGGAATTTGAAAACTTAAAAAGATGTTATCAATAATTGTTTTAGATTTACAGGTTAATCGCGTTGGTTGAATTATTGTTGGGTAAAAAGAATAAGAACAAAATGAGTCAAGGTAATCAGATATAATAAGGGATTCATTGCAGTTAAGTAAGTTCATGTTAAAGTCACCCATTAACATAACCTGTTTATTTTCAGAACTAAGTTTTTCAAGTAAAGGATTAAAATAATCAGAAATAAATTCCTTTGGGTTCATTGAAGGATGCCGGAATATGCAGCCAACAATGATATTTTTCTTAAAAGGATTGATGATTTCAATAAAGATAGATTCTAGGTATTTTGGGGCATATTCTATAAGATCTCTTTTGACATTGTAGTTTAAATTGGATTGTAAGTATAGAAGAGCACCGCCCGAGCATTGTTCAATGTTATAACCATTTATAGTAATGTCAGTTATATTGGGATTGTTAATGTACAATTTAGATTCCGAAATTCCAAATACTGTTGGAAGAATAGTAAGTGAACTTATGAGACTGCGAAGTTCATCAATATGAAAATGCAAAGAACCAATGTTTAGATGAAGGTACAATTCAGAATTTGATTTTAAAGTTTTATTGAGATCAAGAATATCGTAGTATTTGCAGTTGGAATAAGAATGAGAGATTTTATTTATATCCTTAAAAAAGTTTTTGAATTGTAATGGACTTTCTAAAGAATTTAAGGTACTAGTTGATAGAGTTTGACATGATATAGTTAAAGAAAATTCTAAGTCCGAAAGTGTACTAAATGGCATATTCTTAATTATACAGTCACTACAGTACCAGTCAGAAGAGTCTTTGACAAGAAGGTAATACTAAAATTTGTTGATTGAATTGCACTTAGCATGAACCCAAGAAGAACAACAGTCACATAAAATGCCTCTTTGATGATTGGCCTCTGCTTTATTGCAGAACTTACAATGGTACTTAATTGCCATGTAAAAATATAAGTTAAAAACAAAGCAATAATATATAAAGTATGGCATAAATCAATAATAAATAAATATAGTATAATTTAAAAATAAAGGATATAATAATTAACAAGTAATCATAAAAAATATATAGTGTTAAGAATTTTAATAGTTAATAAAGTAATAAATAATATAATAGCAGATAATATATGTATAATAAATAAATAACATTAAAAGATACAACAACTAAAAAATAAACAAAAAGTTATTAATTATATTAACGAAAAATAATTATTTAAAAAATAATAATATAATAAAAGAAAATTAATAATAATAAAATTAGAAACACACACATATATATATATATATATATATATATATATATATATATATATATATATATATATATATATATATATATATATATATATACATATATATATATATATGTATACATATATATATATATATATATATATATATATATATATATATATATATATATATATATATATATATATATATATATATATATATATATATATATATATATATATATATATATATATATATATATATATATATATATATATATATATATGTATATATATATAAATATAGATTTTGAAATTGAGATACTTATTGATCCTTGTTCTATCAACCTACCCAATGATATCTTGCACCGTTCTGCTCACACAGCAGTTGGAGAGGGTTTAACTCCACATCAACACACAGCGATTTTTAGAAGTATTATAGTCAATTCTGGAGGATGCACTTCTGATTTTGTATGCTCAAACTCATCTTCATACAGAACAGTAGAGATTGCTGTGTTTATGGGTGCAAATGAAATCAGAGACCATATAAAAAGAATTTCTAAATCTTCAAATTCTCTAATAACAATTCATTTTGATGGAAAAATTGTCAAAGAACTTATTGAAGGAAAACAGTTTATAAAAAATAGGTTAGCTGTTCTTGCTAAGATTAAAGGACAAACCGAGTTACTTGGAGTTCCAGGTATTGACTCCGGTTCTGGAGAACACCAAAAAGAAGCTATATAAGAGCTCATTTTAAACTTTGAATTAGACGATAAAGTTCAGTGTCTTTTCTTTGATAAAGTTCAGTGTCTTTGCTTTGATATCACTAGCGCTAACACAGGTAAAATAAAAGGAGCTTGTAGCAAAATAATTATGCGCACTGCATGTCTATGTCATATATGTG